AGTCCTCCTGTTTCCGATTTTGTAAATTCAATCTGCCAGGTCAACTGTTGCGAGGGTCGGTCCGGGCTATCCTCTCCCGGAGGTAGATTTCGAGAAAGTAAACAAAAAAAGCCCTCTGAAAAGGTTCGACGCACACACAACGTATATAAATAAGTGATAAAAAACAGTTATAAAATGTAAATGTCTCGCGCTACATTTGTCTGCGGTGATGGTGGCTACGCTGCTGCACGTGGCTGCCTGTAACCCAGCACTTTGGAGATAGCAGCAGCGAGGGTTGGTGGATCACACACAGGTGTGGAACTCCCTTCTACCCGTGGGTGTGTCGAGGAGGAGCCGTACCCCTGGCTGCCTGGGGGAATGCATTAAAATGTAAACTTAAATTATACCGTATGAATGTGGAAAGGATTCAACTGAGTCGTATTCCTTGGAGGCAACACATTTATTGATACCAACACAAAGGGGTAACTGCCCCTTTACCAGATAACAACCTATGATGGTGGACCACCAGGCTAACTACACACTATGGTGGTGGACCACCAGGCTAACTACACCCTATGGTGGTGGACCACCAGGCTAACTACACACTATGGTGGTGGACCACCAGGCGAACTACACACTATAGTGGTGGACCACCAGGCTAACTATACACTATGGTGGTGGACTACCAAGGCTAACTACACACTATGGTGGTGGACCACCAGGCTAACTACACCCTATGGTGGTGGACCACCAGGCTAACTACATCCTATGGTGGTGTTCCACCAGGCTAACTACACCCTATGGTGGTGGACCACCAGGCTAACTGCACACTATGGTGGTGGACCACCAGGCTAACTACACCTTATGGTGGTGAACCACCAGGCTAACTACACACTATGGTGGTGGACCACCAGGCTAACTACACACTATGGTGGTGGACCACCAGGCTAACTACACCCTATGGAGGTGGACCACCAGGCTAACTACACTAATTACACTGGGAGTAGCTACAACGACGGGACCCCGGCTTGGGTCCAGGTCCACGTGTTGGTGACTCTTCTCAGACGTAGAACGTCGATCTTCAAGATAACAACAGCAACGCTGAACCCCAGTCACTCTGGGGACCCGGTTTATATCCTCACTGGTCGTGGCTAGCCCCGCCCTTGGCCACGACCACCTTCTCGAACTCTCTAGCAGGATCTCGCCCCAACATGTGACAACGCCTAGCCCCCACTTGGGGCCACTGTGTGGACTTTAACCGTCACGTGCCTCCTAGGGTCAACCAGAGTGCCAAGGCCTGGGGTAACCCCACTCATGGCCGGCACTCTCACACCCCTCTCCTATAGGGGACAGCACTGCATGCCGAGCGTGGTGCCACTCAGCACTCTCTTATCAGCGCTCACCGAGCCCCTCTAAGGCTGGTACTACACCCACATATATGGGGAGTCTGTGATGTAAATACATCGCACGCCGTGCCTCGCTAGAACCGGCATTACCCAATGACATCCACGATGTCGCTACACACGTGATGTCCGTGATGTGAGTACATCGCACGCCGTGCTTCACTAGAGCGGGCATTACCCAGTGACATCCATGATGTCGCTACACACGTGATGTCCGTGATGTGAGTACATCGCACGCCGTGCCTCGCTAGAGCCGGCAATACCCAGTGACATCCACGATGTCGCTACACACGTGATGTCTGCGATGTGAGTACATCAGCCTCTCTAGGGCCGGCACCACACAGTGACGTCCGCGATGTCACTACATGTGTGTGCGTATGGGTAGCATTTAGAAGCATCCAGCAGCATCCCAATACGTTGTATGATGCTACGCCGAGGCAGCCGTACAACCACTTATTCCTACTCGTGTGACGTAGTTCTGTTTACTCAATCGTGTTGTATCCAATTCACATCGGCGTAAAAAAAAGTGTTCCCTTTAATACATTCATCGCGTTTTATCCAATTCACATTATGAAAACACGTGGCGTTATAAGGAGAACAGACTGTGTGTATGTTGCACTTCTTTCACAACATATGCAGCCAACCGTAATAATTGGAGACGCAGGGGAAGGACAACAAAATAAACACACAAAAAGCAATTTGAAATAAATGAGTTAGCAATCTATGATTCTTTAAAAGTTCCGTCGGTATTGGATACAGTGTTGTCACACTCTCAGGTGTGAGGAGTTTTTTTTCCATGGTGCTCTGGACTCCTTCCACAATTAAGTAATGCGGAATTATCAATAGTTACCTAAAAAAATGTATACAATGTTTATATATGTATATGGTAGGGTGTGGGGTAATACGCCTACGTGGGGCATGAGGCCTTTTCGTCCTGGTACCCACACATGCTTCGTCTGTTGAGCTGTAGACACAATCATCAGCAGCAAGCAGCATCAGCAGTGTCTCTAGAGGTGGGCACCAGTCTCTCCACCTCAACCTGAGCAGGGCTGATGATGGAATTTTCCGTTAGCTCCAAGATGAGAAAGGCCTTTCTTTCACCCCATGTAGGCCTCTTACCCATCTTATCCTACATATTGGGTGATGAGCTCCTTTAGGTAAGACGGAGCAAGGCCATTTAGAACTGTACAAGTGACATTGAAGTCAATCCGGAATTGCACAGGAACAGATCAAGTGAGATCATTGGGCAGGTCAAGGCAGATCATTGCACAGCTCCTTGAAACTTCTGCTCAATGCTTCTGCTGCGTACATTCTCCCTGTACTGGTGAAACGCCGAGTAAATATGCACCCTGTGGACTGAATGAGCGACTAAGACCTAGTAGGGTGTGGGGTAAGAGGCCTAGGTGGGGTAAATGCTTTATGTTGTCCTGGTGCTCACGCGTGGTTAGTCCATTAAGCTGCAGACACCAGCAGCAGCAGGGCCCTCTAGAGGAGGGTGCCAGTCTGCACCTCAATATGATCAGCGCTGATGACCACATATTGTTAGCTCCAGGATGAGAAAGGCTTTTCACCCCACGTAGGCCTCTTACCCTGCCCTGCCACCGTCAGCCGTGAGTCTACCCCCACATCACATCCAAAAATGCCACAGGACATCCTGCATTGAAAATTCGCAGGTGGGTGGCTAACCTGGTGACATGAACGTCCCGTTTAAAATATTATGAATAACTCTGGCCATCAGAATGCGGAATTCCCATGGCTGGCTCAAAGCCGCTGAATAGAGATGCGTATGCCGTCGCATAGCTCCTTACGAGTGGGGAAGATATTTATATGTGCATTTGTTGTGTCGTGGATATAATGAAGCCGTTGTCAATTGGAATTTCCAGCATTGGCTCAAGGCAGAACCAGTACTAAACTCAAAACTATTTTGTTTCATTACCAAGTTAAGGCCCACTGAGCTATATATAGCTCTTCTTCAAGAAGCGACCTGGCTATCTCAAATGATCACTCAACGAAGTGGCTTTTCATCACGTGGAAATGTATTGCAGCTAAATACTCGAAACGTGTGATGTTGATCCTAAATGTGGAGGGAAAAATCGGTGGACCCGGAGAAAACCAATTTTAATTTTAACAGGTAATGCCCACTGAGCTATATAGAACTTTTATCAGAAGCGACCTGGCCACAAATGATAGCTCACGAATGTGGTTTCTCATTAGGAAATGTATATCAACCAAATACTCTAAACGGATGTTTTTAGATGTGGAGGGAAAAACTGGAGGACCTGGAGAAAATTTAACGCGACCACGGGGAGAGAGGTAAACAAACTCCAAATATACAACTGGTGTCAGGGTCGTGATCGAACCAACAACCTCCTGTATACCAGGCGAGGTTGTTAACGTCTCCTAGCCACTGTCGTGTCCATGGCTGGTGTCAGTATGGCGAGGCATATGATCGCAACAACGCACAGAGCCACATTGGCTTGTCTTCGCGTCACAGGCAAGGGGCGTGCCATGTAGACAAGTGGTGGTTCTCAACCCGGTGGGGTACGCGGTGGACCCCTGGGAGGTAACGCGTGGCAATGTCCCGTGGGGGAGAGGAGGGGGGTGTGGTGTGTGATTTATAAATGCGTTAAATTGTTGTACATGAGAGTCATTGTTGAATAATAACATTTGAATCTGCCAATAATAATAAAAAATACGACAAAATTTTCACCCATGTGGTAACCTAGAACGATGTGAAAGACCTTTCTAAACTCATTGATCGTAAACAATGTTGGTTTCCAAGAGTAATCGGCGAACGCGAACAATTTGCGTCATGCACGCAGGGCGTCCATTGATATTATTTTGCATTTACTTGCAGTTACTTAGCTAGTTAGAATATTCCTCACAAAAATGGACAATTGGTTCAAATATTGATGTTCATTATTAATTTCATTTATTTCTGAGATCCACGTTGGGTAAGGCAAGGGGGGTACACTCGGTTAAAACTAAATTAAACAAGGGGGTAGAGTAGCCAAACAAAGTTGAGAACCACTGCTGTAGACAACCAAACGATGAGTCTAACCTTCATGTATCCGTGTCTTCACATACAAAAAAAACTAATTAAAGTTGTATTTACTCAAACCATCGGCCCATATCCTTTTACGAGTGCATAATTTCTGCAACGTTGATTTAAATATAAACAAAAAAAATTCTACACCGGTTTCAACATTCAGTGTCTCTACAGCAAAAACTCAGGCTCCATGGGTTGTGTACGAAATATTTGTATTTTTTATGTGATATATGAAGGAGAAGCATTGCCTACTTATCTATCTTGTTATTTACGTGTCTTTTTGTGTATATGTGTGTATATGTGTGTGTATGTGTGTGTATGTGTGTATATGTATATGTGGGGAGCGGTGATGTTGTGGTTAGTACACTGCGCTACGAACCCCGAGAGCTGGGTTCAATTCCCGCTCACGGCCAACACCAGTGACGATTATCTGAACCGGTCCTAGGCCTCCCCTAGGTCGACTCAGCCTCAAATTAGTAGCTGGTGCGATGTGTAAACATCGCCACTAGGGAGACAAAGGCGGCCGGGCGTGGTGTTGGCCACCCACCCCATCGTGTGGCGTTCAGGCCTTCATAGGTGCTCGCTAACAGCACTTTCCCCTTCAGTCTGTTAAGGCTATACGGGGGATATTTTTTGTATGTGTATGTATATATGTGTGTATGTATGTATATATTTTTGTGTGTGTTTATCTGTGTATCACGGCCACGGGCTGCGTGGTTGTCACCACCGTGACGGCTGTCCCGCGGTTCTTCTGGTGTCGCAGTTCGCGCGCCATCTGACACGTGGTGCAGTGATTGCAGCACCACAGGCTCACGAAGTCGTCAAACACGGTGCCCTGCATCGCAAGAACAACAACAACAACGACCGCCGCTGTTCACCACTGAGTGACGGGTGATGTTACCACGGTGCTTGTGCCATGCTTAGGTCCACTTTGAGGCCACGTGTCGAAGACCCCGCTGGCAGGTCACACGGACAGACAGGTGCTGTGGGTTAACTTCCTAAAATCGCTGACAGTTGCAACTCCTGTAATCGCCACTGACAACTCTGTGCGTTTTAGCTACCCGGCGCTCCGCTCGTTGTTGTGAGCGTCGCTCTTCCACCCTCAGTTGTTGCTGGAGAGCGACTGCCTCCAACTGCCCAGTAGTAGCGTCCTTCACGAGCCTCCTCCAAGTCTGATCAGGTGCCCATCCTCCTGTACGACATTAGCCCATCTCCTCTCTAGCCCATACGACATCCGTTAGCCTCCTATATCCGGCCAAACAGAAGCTACTTGGGTATGCCGTGGCTGGGCATGCAGGCTGCATGACCCAGCCATCGACGCCTCGCCTACTGAAGGAGATCACTGATGGGAATGTGTCCAGATCTTTCATCATCTGTGAGATTATGGTTGCACTTTGGGCGTCTATTTGTGTACGAAGACGTGGCACCACGGTGGCGAGATGTTAACTACCTCGCCTGGTATACAGGATGCCAGCTGTATATTTGGAGTTTGCGTATCTCTCCCTCCGTGTTCACGTAGATTTTTTTCCGGGTCTTGCGGTTTAGAAACATGCGTTTAGATTATTTGACTGCTATCAATTTCCACGCAATGATAAGCCACTTCGTTGAGCTATCATATGTGGTGGCCAGGCCGTTTCAGTGGGCCTTACCTGTTTAAAAACAATAGTTGAACAGTTCAGTTTTATTTTAATCATTTGACCAATTTTCAATCGGGTATAAACCTAACAGCAACATAGATTTATGCCCGACGTTTAATTTGCGTCGTTATAAGGGGCCGTCCATAAATGACGTCACGCGATTTTGGCCGTTTTTTGACCCCCCCTTCCCTCCTCGTCATACGGCGTCACAAAAAGTCAGACCCCCCTCAAATATGACGTCACAAAACTCTGCCCCCACCTAAAACCATATTTCCATTTTGAAAATAAACATGCTTCAAATCACTTTTAACTATTGTCGTTGTAGTGCGTATTTAATGTGGCGCTGCACTCTGATGTTTTAGGAGAAAACATTTATTAAAAAGGAGGCGTTGAAAAGCTGAAATTTAGCATAAAATTCACTTGAAAATATTCAACATCTAACTAAAACTGCAGATGTTCAGAATATTATATTGAAATTCTCTTATAATTACCAAATATTAAATGTAATTATAACTATAAAAAATACTTGAAACTTTGTAGTAGAACGAAGCAAAATGGAGAGTACAATTATAACAATCACATATTCATTCCACAGAATGAAAAGCCCTGGTAGAATCATTAAAAATAAAAATGTTTAATAACAATCATTCAAAAATTGTACAAAATGTATGCTTCTCCATTCTCGCATTGAGAAGCAAAATGCTCCTTCATGGAGTAAATAAAAGGTGACCTTAGTAAAGTAAAATAATCAAAACGTTTATAATGAAATTTCATCAAAATTAGTGTTGTTATAATAAAAATTAAATTGTTTATATTTATTTAAAGTTTGCACATTTTGATGTGACATCGCATTTCTCAAACCCCCCCTCCCCCCCTCGTCACACATCGTCACAAATGTCTGACTCTCCTCCCCCCCTAGGTCTGTGACGTCATTTATGGACGGTCCCTAATTTGCTATCATGTTCTCCCACCGCGGGCATGGACAGTGCTGGCGCATCAGCGCCATCGGGGTGGTGGCGCGGCCAAGCGCCAGCGTTTGCGTTCCTCATTCGTTCCCAAGAGGGTTGTCGTGTTTTTTTAAAAGTTTAAAGGCGGCCCCTGGTCACCGTGAAATGCGGCGTGCCATCTGCTTCACGTTGGCAGTTAAAAAAAATCCCATAACGTCATTTGAAACGAGTCTAAAATCTCCCAAATTGCAAATCGCTCAATTGGGACTGTATGTACCACCAGCAGCAGCAACCATTGCATCTTGCTGGCAGCAGACTGATGTCCACTTGTTTACAGGCTCAAGTTACTGAGTCACCTCCATGCCAACACAGGGACAGCTGCCACCGGGGGGTGGGGAGGGGGACCGTCCCCCTTTCAAATGTGTTAATGATGAGGTGCAAGTCGCTCTAAGACATGCCTGCGTAAAGTAGGGTGGCTCAATATCAAATGCAGAAATCAGCATCATTGGCATCATCGTCATCGTCATTGTCGTCGTCGTCGTCACTGTCGTTACTGTCATCATTGTGATCATTGTCGTCATAATCATCGTCATCGTCGTCATAATCATCGTCGACATCATCATCATCATCGTCGTTGTCATCGTCGTTATCGTCATCATCATCTTCGCCATTGCCGTCGTCATCAACATCATCGTCGTTATAATTACCTCGATATGGTGCCTCTCTCGAATGCCAGTCCGCAACGCCATTAAGGCCCCAGGCAGCATCGGGACGCAGAAGCACTCGCCGAAATCCGACGCCACCTTGCACTGCAGCAGCGGCAGGCAGAAGAACCCGCAGACGCCTGTCACAACATGGAGGAGCAGTGGGAGAAATTATCAATCTAAAACGAATCTATTAAACAATTTTCAATTGACCAGGTAAGGCCCCGGCTGAAGCGACTTGGCTATCGCAAAATGATGGTGCAACGAAATGGCGGCTTGTCATCATCACGTGGGCATTTATAGCAGCAGCAGCCTGAACACGTGATGTTGATTCTAAATGTGGAGAGAGAAAGAGACGTGCAACATATAATAATAGGGTTTTTCCACGTTTTTCTGGCAACAAAACTGAAATCTTTTTGCAAGGAATCACGTGTGCATTAACCACAATACTTGTGGTCAAAATGCAAACAAAAAATACACTCTTTGATACTGGAAAAGGTCTAATGATGTAGATGCTTACCGCGAGCCCTCATTACTTTGATAGTGCATTGTCTTTGAGCTGTACGCCTTTTGGCGTCCTCTGGTCTAGCACCAATTGAGACGAGGCTGAAAAGAAAGCCGCCTGTGGTATGGACCAATCAGTTTCAAGGACAATGTACATATAATCAGTGTATTTTTTTGCATTTTGACCACAAGTATTGTGGTTAATGCAGACATGATTCCTAGTAAAAAGGTTTCAGTTTTGTTTCCAGAAAAAAGGGGAAAACCCCCTATTACTGTATTATACTTTGATACTGGCAAAGGAGGTCTAATGATGTAGACGTGCAACACTCCAAATACATACAGGGGTCGGGATCGAACCCACAACCTCCTGTATACCAGGCGGGGTAGTTTACATTTTGCCACCACTAAGGTCTTGGACTTGCCTGCCGTGATTATACCAGGTTGTCAAGTTATTCTTATTTGTCATTATCATTACAGTTGTGTACCCAGGGAAGCCTCACTGAGAGTATCAGAACTCATTTTCAGAAGGGTCCTGTTATTATTTATTTTTGCAGAAGGGGCCGATGGTGCGATGTGTCATACCAATTGCGTAATTTCCAGGTAATTGTTTGAGCATGAGGATGCGAGTAATATTTTGTCTTTTTTTCTTTAGCTATGGGAAGAAACCAGAGAACCCAGTACAGGAGAAGAATGTACAAACTCGATACAACAAAAAAGCAGCCACTATTCACGACGACGTGACGGTGACATCACTATCACGCTCGACCGAGGCCAAATAGACTTTGAGGCCTTGTAAAGTGTTGAAGCCTCATTGACAGAAGGTCATGGGGCAGACCCAGGTGTTGAGGGCTAATTTCCTGAGATGGCTGACAGATGCATCACCTTTGCTTTCCACCGGCCCTCTGCCCGTTGTTGTGAGGGTTGCTCCACTGTCCTCCATTGTTGCTGGAGAGTGACTGCCTCCAACTACCCAGTAGCAGCGTCGTCACGAGCCTCCTCCACAGAGGCTAATTATTGACACCGCTGGGACCATTCTTCATCTGAAAATCCAATCAGCCCCACATCTTTCTGAACTTCATCAGCCCATCGTTTCTCGAGCCTATGCAGTGCCCATTTAGCCCCCTATATCCGGTCAAACAAAAGCAGCTTGGACATGCGGTGTCTGGGCATGTGGGCTGCATGACCCAGCCATTGCGGCTTTGCCTATCGGGGCAGCTCAGGGATGGGTCTATGTCGAGATCTTTCAAGGATCTGTGAACTCCTCACACAATACAATCTGGTTAAACCCAGAATAGATTGTAGGCAAGCCAGCCTTATTGTTTCAAACCGGTGCAGATGTTCCTTTAAAGGGCTCCACATTTCACAGGCACAGAGAGGGGAGGGGATAACTGTGGCCGAAAAGACCCAGAGCTTGGTGTGGATCGATAGGCCAGGTAGCTTCCACACAGCGTTATGCAGCTGATGAAAATATAATGCTGCTCGACTGCTTCAAAGTTAGACTGGACTGGAACTACTGCCAAACCGGAGCTGGTCATAAGCATACTGCCCAAAGTATGAGAACGTCTCAACTCTATCCACAACTGCCTCATCACTCGTGCAGAGTTTCAGGGGGGTGGAGTATTTGATGACATAAAATACCCAGGCAAGTGTCGTATTTTAGTGGGGCTCATGTGGTGCATCGGCCAGTCATTTCAGTCAGTCAACCCATGGCACCTGGGACTGCTCCGTGACCTCTTCACGTGGCCTTAACGTGCACATAACCTGGCACAAGCGCCGTGGTGATGTCACCACCACTTAGTGGTGAATGGCGGTTGAACTTCTTTCACACCGGACGCAGCCAACCGTTCTAATCGGAGGCAGTGGCTGCGAACACGCCATGAAGGTAATGGATGTTCATTAATAATAACAGCTCATTAGGATCGGCATCCCCCCCCCCCCACCGGCATTGCTCACAGCACACCTCAGTGATTGCCAACACAGTCTGTTCTTCTATAATGCGGTAGAAGTTGCGTTCCCGAAGAACACCGCATTATGGAAACATCGCATTGTAACAAATAATAAAGGGGGTAAAGCACAGCCTGCGATAATGTGTGAGTTGCGTAACGCACGCCGAACAAAGACAGAGGTGTCGTGGGTAGTGTTTAGACGTATCCAGCAGCATCCCGCCTTGTTTGATGCTACGCCGAGGCAGCCGTATGACTGCTTATTCCTACCTGCACGATGTAGTTCCATTCGCTCAATCGCGTTATATCCAATACGCATCCACGTTATAAAAAAATCTGGTCCCTACAATACAGCCATTGCGTTATATCCAATTCGCGATCATAAAACAAGCGGCATTAATGGAGAACAGACTGTACGTGTATATGTAATAAACACATACACATGTGCATTGTGTGTATGTGTGTCTGGGGGAACAGTAGTGTAGAGCTTAGTGCGCTGCGCTACAAACCAGGCGACCCGGGTTTGATTCCTGCTCACGGCCATCAACACCAGTGACGATTATTTAAACCAGTCCTGGGCCTCCCTTAGGTCGACTCAGCCTCAAATGAGTACCTGGTGTGTTGTGTAAACATCGCCACTAGAGAGACAAAGGCGGTCGGGCGTGCCAGCCTTCATAGGTGCTGCTCGCTAACAGCACTTGCCCAAGAGTCTGTTAAGGCTACACGGGGGATTTTTGTCGCTCTGACGGCAGTGACCCATGGTCCTTGTGGCTTGTGGTGGTCGGGAAACTCACGAGTGGAAAAAAAACTAAGAACAGGTTTTACCGTTTCTAGCAACAAAACAAGAGGTGTCATGAAGGTGTTCAAACACCAAATAAGATACCTTTTGCAAGGCATCAAGTCTGCATTGATACTCTTTGGTTCTATTCGGTAAAGTCACGTAGGTAAAACAACAAAACAACAAAAAATCACGACGTTTCGGCCACAACACAAGTGGCCTTCATCAGGTGAAGGCACCAAACTGTCCAGAGGACAGCGTTGGAGGGAAGAAAGCCAAGCGCAGGTCGCCTCCTTTAAGCTGTGAGGGGGCAAACAGAAAACGCCTTGACAAAGGAATTAGCATAAAATGTACTATTGTGAAAGCTTGGACATTACACCACAGTGAGAGTTTGGAATGCCACTACTTGAATAAATATACTGTACCGTTGAAAATTAGTTTAATGTTTGGTTCGATTTAGAACATCTTTCCAATGGTTGCTTAATTTTGTTTTGTTTTTTTACCTACGTGACTTTACCGAATAGAACCAAAGAGTATGGATCCTTGCAGTCACGAAAGCTTCAAATCTAGAATCTGCATTGATACTTTTTATAGATAGTTCATGCAACTTCGGAGCTAGGATCAACAAGTCACGAAACAAATACTGGATACTCAAGACTCCCCCCTACCCCCCATGAACTGGCTTTGGAACCATACAACCACATACAGTATAGCTGAATGAAACAAGATCACAGAGCGATACAACAGGCCAATCAACCATATAATTGGCACGGTTAGCCATGTACGGTGTGAAAGAAGATGCCTTTTGCAAGGCATCAAATTTGAAGACCAATTTTTATTTTTCATAATTTTTGATAATGGACAACAACAAAAAAGAGATGCCGTAGATACAAACTCACAGATCTCCGTATCCTGGAAGCAATCCATCATGTGGGATGACCACTGGGCCTGTCCCTGTACATTCACTGTGTGCGCCACGGGCTGCGTCACCAGCACGGGGGGCTGCGTCACCAGCACGGGGTGCTGTGTCACGATCATCTGCAACAGCGCAAAGGAGCAGAAATAACATTGCAAACGATGATGACAATAATCATAATATAGTAGATTCAACTGAAATCTAGAATTAGATTCAACTGAGTCGCAGACGTACTCTTTGGATTGCAACTCATTTATTGATACCAACACAAAGGGGTAACTGCCCCTTTACCAGATAACAATATATGGGGGTGGACCACCAGGCTAACTACACACTATGGTGGTGGACCACCAGGCTAACTGCACACTATAGTGGTGAACCACCAGGCTAACTACACACAATAGTGGTGGACCACCAGGCTAACTACACACTATCGTGGTGGACCACCAGGCTAAATACAAACTATGGTGGTGGACCACCAGGCTAACCACACACTATCGTGGTGGACCACCAGGCTAAATACACACTATGGTGGTGGACCACCAGGCTAACTACACACTATGGTGGTGGACCACCAGGCTAACTACGCACTATGGTGGTGGACCACCAGGCTAACTACACTAATTACACTGGGAGTAGCTACAACGGACCGGACCCCAGCTTGGGTCCAGGTCCACGTATTGGTGACTCTTCTCGGACGTAGAACGTAGATCTTCAGGATAACAACAGCAACGCTGAACCCCGGTCACTCTGGGGACCCGGTTTATATTATCACTGGCCGTGGCTGGCCCCGCCCTTGGCCACGACCACCTTCTCGAACTCTCTAGCAGGATCTTGCCCCAACACGTGACCACCCCTAGCTCCGACTTGGGGCCCCTGTGTAGATCTTACTCATCATGTGCCTCTCAGGGTCAATTAGAGTGGCATGGCCTTTATTCACCCCATTCATGGCTGGCACTCTCACACCCCCTCCTATAGGTGACAGCACTGCACGCCGAGCGTGGTGCCACTCAGCGCTCTCTGTCAGCGCTCACCGAGCCCCTCTCGGGCTGGTACTACACCGCAATGGTAATACATCGCACGCCCTGCCTCGCTGGAGCCGGCATTACCCAGTGACATCTATGATGTCACTAAAATAATAATACATATTCTATTAGACTGAACACTCCGGTAAGCACGGTTGGCTATGTACGGTGCGAAAGTTCCACATACATACACTACACTTTACGCTACTATACACTGCACTACTATACGCTACATTATACACTACTATACACTACATTGTACACTACACTATACACTTCTATACACAACACTCTACCAAACACCACTATTCTAAATTGAAAACTGCTTTTTGTGTTTAGTTTTTGTCCTTCAATTAGCACGGTTGTCTACGTATGGTGCGAAGTTCAGCATATATGTAGTGTTTATAATGACGAATAAACTTACGAGGCACACTCTGTTTATTGTAATACTTCTCTTACACAGTCCTTAACACACAGAGGGGTATACGGTCCCCTCACCCGATACCCTAAGAAGGTACAGCCTCCGGACTTAGCATGATCTACACACAGGTCTCTTGCTAACCTAAGGAGGTACAGCCTCCTATCTTGGCGGGACTTACTCACACGTCTACCGCTATCCTAGAGTCCTCTGGCTGGGACCTAGGGGAGGCTATCTGACCCACCGCTGGCCCCGGCGGGTCTTGACCACTGGATATGCCGAGACTTAGCCCTCAGAAGGGCTGGAAGGCTGGGTCCAGGGTCCTGGCTATCTTCAGCCTGGGCTTCGGTCTTCGTGTAAGGAGAGAACTCCCCGCGCTCTGCGCGGTCACCCTACTTATTCCCGTTTGTGGCCAGGTGTAACCAATCCCACATTCCCACGTGGAACTGTCTGATTGGTTCTTACCAAACTGTGGCTACGATTCACTTCACCTCGTCTGACTCCAACCGTTATGTACACAGAGGTAACGCTGCACTGCCCCTTTGATACCTAGTGGCAATGCAGGTTACCGAACAGTGAGTAGTTAACACCTCTACATATGTACTATGCATACGTACACCAATGTCCCCAGCAAGAATGAGAAGAACACCTTGCACTCCCAGACTGCTATGAGTATTACACAGCTATTAGAAACATTCAATCAAATATATGGGTAAATGGGAAAGCTCGAGATACCCGAAAAAACTGGGAAGGGGTTCCGCTAGGTCCATGGCGACTAAGAGGGCAATGCCTCTACCAGTAGGCCCATGGAGACTTACAGGACTAAACCTCTTCCCCCTTCCCACACCCACCAATTGTAAGCAAAATCACCTGGAGACTGATGTTGTACTTCCCCACCTCATGTACTGTATCTGGTCACACTTGGTTTCTGGGGGACCTCGTTTGGTATACAGGAGGTCGTGGGTTCGATCCCGACCCTGGTGCCTGCTGTATATTTGGAAGTTTGCGGTGTGCCCTCTCTCTTCACGTGCTTGTGCGGATTTTTCCCCAGATCCTCCGGTCTTTCCCTCCACATTTAAAATGTTTGTATGTTGAACTTATTTCGCACCGTACGTAAGCAACTGTGCTAATCAACATACGTTTAGAGTACTTGGCTGCTATACATTTCCACGTGATGATAATCCACTTCGTTGAGCTATCATTTGTGGTAGCCAGGTCGCTTCTGAAAAAGAGCTATAGTATCGCTCAGTGGTGTCTTAAGCTGGTAAAATTAAAATGTTTAATTTAAAAGTTCGACCCATTACTTTACATAATGAACAATGGAGTATATTGGCCCTCCTGGAGGAACGCATACTTTCAAAAGATTGAACTATTCACTGAAGAGCATCCGGTTGATACTTTTAAAATATCAGAGCCGACAATACATTTACAGACAGTACCTGCACCTTAAGAAGCCGCGATCAATAAGTCACAAAACAAATACCGGCTACCAACACTTCCCCCCATTAATCAACTGGTTTTGGAACCATACGACCACATACAGAATAATACAAGATCACAGAACGATAAAACAGTCCAATCGAACATAGAATTAGCAACGTTATATATGAACGCTGCGTAAGAAGTTCAAGATACATAGAACGAAGGCACTATGGGACAAAATAATTCATAACCCCATCACTGACCCACAAAGGTCCTCGAACCTGCCCCTTAAAGACCGTTCAATAAAAAAGTATATCTGTATGGCACCTACCTTAAAGACAGAAAACGAGCCCTGGTTTTACAGCAATACCTCCCCCAAATTGGCTCAGATGCCCACAGTGAAGATCCCTAACATACGCACAAGCATTCTGGTCTTGTCCGGACATAGCAAAATGCTACGCAGCCATCATCACACGCTTCAAAATGAATGACACGACATTACAGGTACTCCTCCACTTATGAACATTCGACTTAGGAAGTTTCAGAGATAGAACAAACCTGTCCGGATGTCCAGTTGCCTGTTTGGACCCAGTGTCGTAAGTTCAAACGCCGAACAATAGATGGTGACGGTTCGGTATCATTACCCAACATTCCCAGCATTTCTGCGTGGGCCGCCACCATTGTCTGTTGTTGTGTTGTTGCTGTGCGGTTCACTCCGACGTTCTCTTCTTTTCACGATCAATTATCAACCCTCATCATGTCTCAGAAGCGTAAGAGTGGTGAAAGTGTTGAGGGTGGTAGTTATTAGAACCAGTGGCATCTACAGGAGATTATACAACTTTTAAAGCCATCCCCCGTGTGTAGTGTACACGCCGTACAACGTGTTTGGAATCGACAGGAGTAAAGTTGGACTTACGAACAAATCGACTTACGAACAGACCTCTTAAACCTAACCCGTTTGTAAGTACAGGAGTTCCTGTACTATTGTCACTGTCAATAGAAGTGACCCTTCTCGGCACATCAAACACCGGGGCATCTTCAAATACCAGCATGCTCGTCTCCACACAGAGTAGCAGCTCAGTAACATTTTACTGAACACTTGGAAATTCTGTGAACCTCCATCACTAGAGTTATGGAACAACAGCCCCACCACACAAGCCTTATCCTCTCTGGCTCACGTGGTGTACAAATTGAACGGTAAAGATGCAGACTTAACCCCCCTACCCCCTGAACCCCATCCCCCAGCAAATCCAAGAATCCAGGAATATACCCCACTTACGAATAACATGAGATTGGCTATGTACGGTGCAAAAGAAGTGGAATATACACACGTGAGATTCCTTTCTCCTAACACGCACAGTTCATCACCCTTCAATATAATTGCCACTTACCCCCTCCTCTCCCCTCCCTTGGCCCGCTTCCCTTCACTCATTATAGGAGGGGGTGAGGGGGAGAATAAGACACCATCAGTGTCAGTGAGGGTCCGCCACACATTTCAAACCATTGGGGGGTTCATGACAGCATCACGATGATGATCGGGGTGGAGGGAGTGTGTGTTCACTCTTTGTGTATTGTCGGGGAGGGCCGCACGTTAGGGGCCCGAACTACAGGCCACGAGGGAGACGCCGGTGGCCCACTGGTGGCTTGCTCATGATGAACGCTGATTTTATAATAACAATGACAGCTTAAACAGCACCTTGAAACATAATACAATCTCAAAGTGATTTATGTAACAATTAGGGGGGGGGGGGGTGAGTAACAATTGGTGAAGTTAAAATGTTAAAATAGCCGGGACGTGGAGATACCAACCGCACCAGACTCCCTCACAGCCTTCGGCAGAGAGTTTCACATCCCGGATCCACATAAGGCCCAGAGATGAACTAAAAACTCAACAACTTATTTTCACCAGATACTGTAAGTCCCGCTGAGATATACAGCTCATTTTCAGAAGCAACCTGGCTATCACAAATGAAAGCTCAACGAAGTGGCTTATCATCATCACGTGGAAATGTACAGTACACAAACACTCTAAAAGCCTGACGTTGATTCTAAATGTGGAGGGAAAGCCCGGAGGACCCGGAGAAAAATCAACGCGACCACGGGTAGAGAGACACGCAAACTCCGAATATACAGCAGGCGTCAGGGTTGGGATCGAACCCACGACCTCCTGTATACCAGGCGAGGTAATTAACATCTCCGATCCACCGTGACATAACATCCTGCTATGTCCGGACAGAGCCAGAACGTTTGTTCGCATGTTCCACCGAGATCACGTGTGGACGTGAGTTTCGTTTCTGGGGAAGCAGAAGAGATGTAAGTCTGCCGACTTCACATTTTGTATGTATGTTGAACTTCTTTCGCACAGTGCTAATCGGAGATGCGGGGTGAAGGACAACAAACAAAACACAAAAAGCAGTTGTAAAGACATAAAAAAAAATCTAGATTGAAAATTGCACAGCTACAGTGGCTTCCAAAGATCGGAAAGAAGAGCGTTCCAGACAGCTGCAAAAGCGCATCTGAAAGCGCACAATGTGGTGGTCGTATTTGTTCGATGGTTAGCCCAAAGAAGAGCTGAATGGAGTAAAAAACAAAACTCACAGACAAACATCTAGTTATTATATTCATATTCTTAGTTTTTTCGGTAAAGTCACGTTGAAGAGAAACAACAAAATAACAAAATATATATAAAACAATAAAAAATTCTCACGACGTTTCGACCATAACTCAAACGGTCATCATCAGGTGTGTTGGTTTGCATAAATTTATTTTAAAACGGTACATTTATTTATAAATAAATATGGTCGAAACGTCGTGAGAATTTTGTATTGTTTTATATATATTTTGTTATTTTGTTGTTTCTCTTCAACGTGACTTTACCGAAAAAACGAAGAATATGAATTACTGCAGTCACGAAAGCTTTAAATCAAAATTACATCTAGTTATTGTTTTATATTTTATTATTGTATTGTTTCCCTTCTACGTGACTTTACCGAAAGAACCAAGAATATGAATTCCTGCAGTCACGAAAGCTTTAAATAAAAAATTAAACATCCAGTTATAAAAGACACAAAACACAGAAGAAGATCCCTCGGTTTGATCTTCCACGAAGTTCACGGTCCACCCAAAAACCGCATCCACTTCACAAACTATAGCAGCAGATGCGGATATCTGATGGTGCACAAATGTTAAATTAAACACACTCCAGCAGTGTGCGACTGTGGTCATCCAGAACATACCGTACACAAGATATGACACCGCAATGCCTCGATCCACAAATACCAAGGAGACATCACAGCGATACACTCCGCTACTGCTCCTGACGCGGTTCTGTAATTGACCAACTTAATGTGAAATTGTAGTCGTTGTCACTGCATCTACATCAGCAGCCATACAAATAATAAGATAATGATGACTGGGAGGTTCCGGATAGCAAGGGGTTGCAGGAGTCAATGCGTGAGGAAGTAAAAGTAGAGAGAATGGGGGTGGGAGTATATCCGGACAGTGTTTCGGGAATAAAATAAAAGAAATCATAATAAAATAAATTTACATTGTCGACCAAGGCGATTTTATTTTATTCCGTTACAGGGCCTCGAAAGTGAATGGGAAAAATTAGGGGAAACCCCGCTAGACTCCAACAGTGGACTTCGAAGATCAATGGTCACATGCGCTCTATTATTTCGAGCAAAGTGTTTATTGATGGACATGTGCCACGCTTCGCAGAATTCGAATGGAGAGATTTTGCACCAAAAAACCCCCCTATTTATTTATCCAGAAAAATCTAAATACTTTTTGTTTTATCAATTGGGACCTGCATTGGCATGCTTGGTTAATATCAGTCGGTTTTATTTATTCATTTAGGAAGAAACTCGGAGGACAGGGAGACAACATACAGAGTGCACAGGCAAAGATGAAGATCTCCCGTATAGCCTTTGGCAGACTGTGGGGGCAAGTGCTGTTAGCGAGCAACATCTATTGAAGGATGGCACGGCACACGAGGGGGTAGCTGTCCACACACTATAGAGCAGGGGAAGAACATACAAACTCCACTCACTCTGTAGAGCAGGGGGAGATCACACAAACTCTGCTCATTCACTCTGTAGAACAGGGGGAGATCATACAAACTCCACTCACTCACTCTGTAGAAGAGGGGGAGATCATACAAACTCCACTCACTCTACAGAACAGGGGGAGAACATACAAACTCCACTCACTCACTCTCACTCTACAGACAGGGGGAGATCATACAAACGCCACTCACTCTGTAGAACAGGGGGAGATCATACAAACTCCACTCACTCTCACTCTACAGAACAGGGGGAGATCATACAAACTATACTCACTCTCACTCTACAGACAGGGGGAGATAATACAAACTCCACTCACTCTCTGCAGAACAGGGGGAGATCACACAAACTCCACTCACTCTGTACACCAATGGGAAAACATAAAACTCCACTCACTCTTCAGAGCAGGAAGGAGAACGCAAAAATGCGCCCGGCTCGGGAATCGAACCTCGGTGTTAGTTTTACTTGTATATTTTGTCAGGTGATTTGTTTACCTGTCCTATACCCTTGCACTCCTATCGTGTTTGTGTGTTTGTTGTCGTAACGTTCTCACCCGCCCCTATTGGGCATCGGTGGGGGGGGGGAGCTTCGGAGCTCATCGGATTCCTCCCGCAGCGCCAATCCACGAATCCGATTCCGTTCCTTCGCCGTGAGACGCGACCACTGCCAGCGACGCCGCAGAGTCCTCACCTTGGGAACGGCGTTCCACGTGCAGAGCCTCCTTCACACGCGCTCCCGCTCGCTGCTGACAAAGGGGGCAGAGGAGCAACGTTGGACGTTATAAACCCACGGACCACAACACGAGAGAGCGAGAGAGAGCTCAAATTAAACACGCACGGAACAAGAGCCACGCGCAAGTTTACTCGTCAAACAAAGTCGCGTGTTCTCAGGCACACGAAAGGGACACACGGCAGCAGGGCGTGTCCACTCAGGGCCATTGCTAACACGAGCCCCGGGTGTGGCTCTGTATGCACGTGTGTGTGTGTGATGCACTTCTTTCGCGCCGTACGTAGCCAGCCGTGCTAATCGGAGGTGTGCGGGGGGAAGGACAACAAACTGACGCACAAAAAGCAGTTCTCAAGAAATTAGTTTTCAAATTAGTATAGTGGTGTTCTGTAGTGTATAGTGGTATAGTGTAGTGTATAGTGCAGTGTATAGTAGTATATAATAGTGTATAGTGTAGTGTATAGTAATGTAGTGGATAGTGTAGTGTATAGTAGTGTATAATAGTGTATACTGTAGTGTATAGTAATGTAGTGGATATTGTAGTGTATAGTAGTGGAAATAGTGGATAGTGTAGTGTATAGTAATGTAGTGGATAGTGTAGTGTATAGTAGTGTTTAATAGTGTAGTGTATAGTAATGTAGTGGATAGTGTAGTGTATAGTAGTGTATAATAGTGTATAGTGCAGTGTATAGTAATGTAGTGGATATTGTAGTGTATAGTAGTGGAAATCGTGTATAGGGTAGTGTATAGTAATGTAGTGGATAGTGTAGTGTATAGTAGTGTATAATAGTGCATAGTGTAGTGTATAGTAATGTAGTGGATATTGTAGTGTATAGTAGTGGAAATAGTGTATAGGGTAGTGTATAGTAATGTAGTGGATAGTGTAGTGTATAGTAGTGTATAATAGTGCATAGTGTAGTGTATAGTAATGCAGTGGATATTGTAGTGTATAGTAGTGTATAATAGTGTATCGTGTAGTGTATAGTAATGTAGTGGATATTGTAGTGTATAGTAGTGTATAATAGTGTAGTGTATAGTAATGTAGTGGATAGTGTAGTGTATAGTAGTGTATAATAGTGTATCGTGTAGTGTATAGTAATGTAGTGGATATTGTAGTGTATAGTAGTGTATAATAGTGTATATTGTAGTGTATAGTAATGTAGGGGATACTGTAGTGTATAGTAGTGTATAATAGTGTATAGTGTAGTGTACAGTAATGTAGTGGATATTGTAGTGTATAGTAGTGTATAATAGTGTAGTGTATAGTAATGTAGTGGATAGTGTAGTGTATAGTCGTGTACAATAGTGTATAGTGTAATGTATAGTAATGTAGTGGATAGTGTAGTGTATAGTAGTGTATAATAGTGTATAGTGTAGTGTATAGTAATGTAGTGGATAGTGTAGTGTATAGTAGTGTATAATAGTGTATAATAGTGTAGTGTATAGTAATGTAGTGGATAGTGTAGTGTATAGTAGTGTATACTAGTGTATAGTGTAGTGTATAGTAATGTAGTGGATAGTGTGGTGTATAGTAGTGTATAATAGTGTAGTGTATAGTAATGTAGTGGATAGTGTAGTGTATAGTCGTGTATAATAGTGTATAGTGTAGTGTATAGTAATGTAGTGGATAGTGTAGTGTATAGTAGTGTATAATAGTGTATCGTGTAGTGTATAGTAATGTAGTGGATATTGTAGTGTATAGTAGTGTATAATAGTGTATATTGTAGTGTATAGTAATGTAGGGGATACTGTAGTGTATAGTAGTGTATAATAGTGTATAGTGTAGTGTACAGTAATGTAGTGGATATTGTAGTGTATAGTAGTGTATAATAGTGTAGTGTATAGTAATGTAGTGGATAGTTTAGTGTATAGTCGTGTACAATAGTGTATAGTGTAATGTATAGTAATGTAGTGGATAGTGTAGTGTATAGTAGTGTATAATAGTGTATAGTGTAGTGTATAGTAATGTAGTGGATAGTGTAGTGTATAGTAGTGTATAATAGTGTATAGTGTAGTGTATAGTAATGTAGTGGATAGTGTAGTGTATAGTAGTGTATACTAGTGTATAGTGTAGTGTATAGTAATGTAGTGGATAGTGTAGTGTATAGTCGTGTATAATAGTGTATAGTGTAGTGTATAGTAATGTAGTGGACAGTGTAGTGTATAGTAGTGTATAATAGTGTATAGTGTAGTGTATAGCAATGAAGTGTATAGTGCAGTGTATTGAACTTATTTCGCGCCGTACGTAGCCAACCGTGCTAACTGGAGGTGAGGCGATGGTTGCCACTGTGTCATCGAGCCTAGGAGCACCCCCAGTGGTAGCTGCCCCTCTGTGACACAAGGCTATCAGCGTGAAGGAAGGCGCTGTTGCTGCTGCTGCTGTTTGACAGACACCAGTCTGCAGTGGTTTCACAGAGGAGGGGCGATGTTGCTGCTGTGTGACATACCGAGCAAGTAATGGGCTATGATCCTCTTTTTGAATGCCATCACAGACAGCATCTTTAATGAGGGGATGGTTTGCGTGGGGAAGAAAGCACGTATTTTACATAAAAAGCACTGGGTTATTTTTTACATAGAGACCGATTAATGGAGGAGACATTGTCTGCGAATGTATTGTTTGTTTAATACTTAGTCGTGGCAGGCTTTCGTGATGAATATTATATATGAGAGGGTTATTTTTGGGTTAGATCGCGTAAAATTATAAATGCGTCGTTTAAATCCGCCACCACCACCACCCGACACAGCCAATTAGTAAGGGGTTTTCACGTAAACAAAACGTGTCCAATTCCCTTACTAGTCCAGCACTCACCAGTTGTGTGTTGGAGAGTAAACCCACTGCAACATTTACAATTCGAGAACGGCGACATTGAGGCTGCTTGCGAGAGTGAGATGCGGGATCACGAACCTGTGCCTCGGGTTGCGCTCTTCTGATCTCGCTGATGCTGTAGTTGTGGTGGTAGTTGTGGTGGTCTCGTTTCAAGCTGCGCCTCTGTCTAAATATGAGCCAATAACCTCTGCCCCCCACACCCCCCAACTAGCCCACACCCCCTTCCCCCCACTAGCCCACACCCCCTGCTCCCCCCCCCCCACTAGCCCACACCCCCTGCCACCCCCACCAAAAGCCCACATCCTCTGCCCCCACCCCCAGCCCTACTAGCCCACACCCTCTAGGATCACGTGGATCTCCACGTGAGTCCACCCATGCTTCTCGAATCCGAGTCGAAGAATTCCGATGCGAGCCTCAGGCTGAATTCCATCACCACTCTTGGACCCGCAATCAACACGTCAAACCTGTATAGGCCCAATCCACTCGAACGGCTGTGACCATCCTCCCAGTGTTGAATGGAACACAGTAACGTGTCCCCATCGGGAATCCCTGTCGATAGAGAGCTCTTGACCGGACGGTGCTTCTATCATCTCCCGACGACAGCACACCGTCCATCGTGGTGTCTTGTAGCGTATAGTGTCGTCTATGGGTCCATAAGTGAGTCTTTAGATCTTTACATGAGGCTATGAATCGCTATATGAGTCTATGGGTTTCTTTGTGAATCAATGAGTTTCTAAACTTATCTATACATCTCTATGTGAGCATATGGGTCTCTATGCGAGCCTATGGGTCTCTATGCAGCTATGGGCTACTATGTGAGTCTATGGGTCTCTATGTGAGTCTACGGGTCTCGATGTGAGTCTATGGGTCTCTATGCGAGCCTATGGGCTTCTATGTGAGTCTATGGGTCGATGTGAGTCTATGAGTCTCTATGTGAGTCTACGGGTCTCGATGTGAGTCTATGGGTCTCTATTCGAGCCTATGGGCTTCTATGTGAGTCTACGGGTCTATCTGAGTCTACGGATCTCTATGTGAGTCTATGGGTCTCTATGTGAGTCTATGGGTCTCTAGGAATGAAGCGGTCTGAAGGCACGTGGGGGGGGGGGGGGGGGGGGGTCGTTGCAGAGGAAGGTTTGAGGAGAGACTCGAAGGCAGAGAGAGGAGAAACCAAATGCAGTTGCCTGAACGTGCACGCACCGCCCTCATTCAATGTTATTCTTCACCAGGCTGGCCAGTTCGTGAAGGCGGGCAGCATAGAAGTACTGAACAACAATGTGTTTTGCTGCACAGCCCTCACCCAAAGGTGGACCCAGGATTTTCAGGTAGGGGGGGCAACCCTTCCAGCAATTAAAAATGATAGAGGAGTTGTTAGTAAGTAAAGACTTGTCCCTTGCTTCTTATTGGACGCGTGTGCGGCGATGGCGCAGCAATCGATCGAGGGTCGATTTCAGACCTCGTTGTGTGAACGGCATCGCGCTCGCTGAAGGTGAATGACTTCAGGGAAGTCGTGGACTCTGTAGACGCGACTGCACACAATTCTGTGAGTCGCTTATAACCGCTTTACTGTTACTTATTGCCAATCATGGACTCAGACTATTGTCCTATTATCCCATAGAGTCCCTGGCACGTAATAAAATGCTACACAGTGGCAGTGGGGGGTCGCAAAATGCCGATTTATTACTAATAAACCCCAATGATCCGATCGAAATTTTGGATTTCGATCGGATCATTGGGGGGGGGGGGGGGGGGGCACGTGCCACCTCCCCCCCCCCCCTCCACTGGTTCCGCCAGTGCCTCTACCCACATTAAGTGGTCGACAACATCGCAGAGCTCGGCTCGTTGTTGGTGGCGCCTGCAGCTCACCGGCTCGCTCGCTCGTGCGCGCTTCCTCGCTTGGAGAGTGCAGCAAGGTACGGCCGTGCGCGTTACCCAGTTGGACTTTTTTCGCACCGTACGGAGCCAACCGTGCTAATCGGAGATGCGGCCGAAGGACGACAAACTACACACACAACAAGCAGTTCTAAAGAAGTGGGTGTTCGATCTAGATTTAAAAGTGCATGGGTCCCAGTGGCTTCCTAACAACGTGGGCGCCGCGGTGGCGAGATGTTAACTGCCGCGCCCGGTATACAGGAGGTCGTGGGTTCGATCCCGATCCCGACCCTGACACATGCTGTTTTTATGGAGTTTGTGTGTCTCTCTC